GATATGCTGAATGTTGTCAATATACCATCTGAATACGCCTCACTTTGTGTTAATCATTGGACGTCCTAATGATTAAGGTCCCCAAAAGGACTTAATCAGACCTCAGTGGATATTTTTACTCTCCCTCTCTCTCTCAGAGCATCCCCTTATGTGTTGTATGTGGGTGCTGAAGTTCAGTCTCTTGTCTATGTATAGGTGAAGGAACTTTCCATAATTGTTATTGCTAATGTTTACTTGTAAACATTAGCATTTGTGTATATACATCCAGTGTATATACATTTACTTGTGTATATACATCCAGTCCAGTGTTCTTACCCTCGACCGAGGAGAGGGTAAGCCGCGGCCGTATGGTCTGAAACCCACAAATATTTACAATGGGGGGGGGGGGGGGGGGGGGGGGATGGGGGGGGAGGGGGGGGAGATAACATTTCCTCTTCAAGCACGCGCACACAAATGAACTATGTTACTTAACTGGAAGCACTCGTACAACATAATTTACACGATTTCTCAGGATTATTACACTTCTTACCAGCATATATACAGTATAGTACCTAGGAGGTTCTCTTCAATGATATCTAAGATAATTAAAAGAACCCAAGCAAACTACTGTGGAAATGTGCAGGACAAACATACCAATTGTGACACTAGCTCTCCACATATGGCATTTGCTTAATTTAGAAACTGTACTTGTGGTCGAACACATGTTGTTAATGTGACGATGTGTTATGAATTTTGTGGCTAGCTCCTCAAGATTGTAACTGTCTTAGATAAATAAATTGTGTGTTCAGTCCCTGAACCCATTATGTGATAAATTAACTAAACTAAAAACTATAGTATGGCGACGAAACCTGAACTGCATAATGTAAATTAGGGATTAACCAGAAAAAGATATAGGTGAAGAATAACACCAGGTAACTGTAAAGCTGCCGCCCAGTTGGGTGGGTGTGGAGCTCATGACTGTAAAGCTGCCACCCAGTTGGGTGGGTGTGGAGCACATGACTGTAAAGCTGCCGCCCAGTTGGGTGGGTGTGGAGCACATGACTGTAAAGCTGCCGCCCAGTTGGGTGGGTGTGGAGCACATGACTGTAAAGCTGCCGCCCAGTTGGGTGGGTGTGGAACACATGACTGTAAAGCTGCCGCCCAGTTGGGTGGGTGTGGAGCACATGACTGTAAAGCTGCCGCCCAGTTGGGTGGGTGTGGAGCACATGACTGTAAAGCTGCCGCCCAGTTGGGTGGATGTGGAGCAGGACTAGTAACTGTGCGACTCCTCATAGATGTAAAGTGCCTTGTATAGTGACTGTTGTGAGCCTCTTGTTGAATCACTTGTGACACAAGAGATTACTGATGTGCCTCGTCCACAGGTACGTTGGTAAACAGCGATTCTACGTCCAACGAGGCTCTTATCCCTGTGGCCCGTGTGCCCCGCAGTAAGTCAACAAATTCCTTTGGAGACTTCAGGCTGAAGGCGCAGGGAACATAAGGAGTCAGCAGGCCGTTGAGTCGCTTTGCCAGTTGGACGTAGAATCGCTGTTTACTAACGTACCTGTGGACGAGACAATCGGGATGATAGCCGACAGAGTGTATCGTGATCCAGCCTGTACTCCTCTTGACATACCAGAAAATATTCTGAGGAAACTACTCCAAGCTTGTACTAAAGAGGCACCCTTCTTGAGCCCGGATGGGCACATGTATAAGCAAGTAGATGGGGTCGCCATGGGTTCTCCCCTAGGTGTCCTGTTTGCAAACTTCTACATGGGTACCATCGAGCAAAAAGTCTTAGTCGACATGAACTTGAAACCGGCCATATACTGCAGGTATGTTGACGACATTTTTACACAGGTACCTGATGTCAGACATCTGCAGGAGCTGAAGGAGTCCATGGTCGATATTTGTGGACGAAGGACATACCAAACTATATAATAAACATCCTATAAATCAAATAGTAATTTTTTTTTTTAAGGGATAACCGTAGCATGCTTGTTTCCGTCGACACGCAAACAGCAAATTATAAAGATAGCAACTGAGTACAATTCAGAGGTCACCATCAAATGATGTCGGCCCATTGGCCGCAGTAAATCCCGGGCTACCTCCTGCTGACAAGAGGTCTTGTAACCCAGCGTCCCAGTGGCCGCAGTAACTTTCGGGCTACCACATAAACTTGCGGCCCAGTGGCTGCAGTAAATCCATGGTTGTTTCCGGCTATAAAATATAAAATATATTCACAGTTGGAAATATTTTAGCAAATCCACTTGATAAACAATAAGTCTGGTAAGCCCGCGGCCCAGTGACCGGGGTAACTCCTGGCTACCTGGTGACTTCCTGGCTACCATCGGCTGACAAAGGGCTGGTAAACCAGCGGCCCAGTGGCCGCAGTAACTTCCGGGCTACCACGTAAACTTGCGGCCGCAGTGGTCTGGTAAACCAGCGGCACAGTGACTTCCGGTTTACCACCGTCAGGCAGAAAGGCTGGTAGACCTGCGATGTAAATCCCGGGCTATCCCCGGAAAACAATAGGTCTGGTACACCAGCGGCCGCAGTAATTCCCGTGCTACCACCGGCAGACAATGGGTCTGGTAAACCTGCGGCCCAGAGGCCGCAGTAAATATCGTGCTACCACCGGCAGACAACGGGTCTGGTAAACCAGTGGCCCAGTGGCCGCAGTAACTTCGTGCTTACCCCTGCAGACAAAAAGTCCGGTAAACCTGCGGCTCAGCGGCCGCAGTAAATCCCATGCTACCACTGGCAGACAAATAAGTCTGGTAAACCTGCGGCCCAGCAGCCGCAGTAACTTCAGGGCTACCACCGGCAGACAATAGTTCTGGTAAACCTGCGGCCCAGCGGCCGCAGTAACTTCAGGGCTACCCCCGGCAGACAATGTGTTTGGTAAACCTGCGGCTCGGTGGCCGCAGTAAAACCCTGGCTACCACCGTCGGACAATAGGACTGGGAAACCAGCAGCCTGGGGCACGAGAGAGCGAGGGCGACCCAGGACCCTAAGGGCACCCTCCATGGGCAAGAGCCCCACGGGGTGGCTGACCACGTGGGCGACTCCACCAGACGTGAAGCGCCACCACCCACGTGCATAATGGGGCCCAAATAGAGCAAAGAACCCTAGTCAACCAACTAGGGCGTCAACACAGACAGCAAGGGGAACAGCGTTGGGCACACGCCGACATTGGGGAGGAACCTGACTGAACATTTAGAACATAGACAACACTGTACTTTAGAGCAAGTTTAGAAGGGCAGGCCGCCCCTTGCGGGTCAGTCTGGGAGGTCGAAGTGCCCGCGAAGGCAAAAACAGCCAGGGTGGGGTCAGGCACCAAGTTAGCAGGCGTGATTTCCATAGCGTTAGGGAGTCCTAAGAACACAGCAAAAGCAGACTTTAACCTCAGTACAGATGATTGGTCCACGTGTTGTTTGCGCGAAGAGCTTTTAACTTGCGAAGCAGTGAGTCCTGAGAGTCCCGAGAACTCAGCAAAACAGACTTTAATCACAGTACAGACGATCAATCCACGAGTCGTTTGTGGGAAGAGCTTGTAACTTGTGAAACGGCAAGTCCTGCGAGTCCAGAGAACTCAGCAAACAGACTTGAATCACATTACAGACGATCGATCCACGTGTCGTTTGCGGGAAGAGTTTGACTTGCGAAGCGGTGCGTGGCAGGAGCAGGAGAGAGCGCATGACCGATTGATTGATTGATGAAGATTAAGCCACCCAAGAGGTGGCACGGGCATGAATAGCCCGTAAGTGGTGGCCCTTTCGAGCCATTACCAGTATCAAAAGATGATACTGGAGATCTGTGGAGGCGCAACTGCACCCTGCGTGACGGGAGATGTCTCCCGGACCAAGTGGTGACCAAATGGTCGAGCGCATGACCTCTCCTCCCCTCTTTATATAGGCCCCCCTTGCGCTTCTCGCCCAGCGCCATGTGGATCGCGCTCTGCAAATATCTTTTCTTACTGCCCCCAGAAAATCCACCGCTTTCCTGCGTATCGCTGCACATCGAGTCAGCTATCGATCGGTCTGTGTGCATGGGAACAGAGCACCAACCTTCTTCCATGTCATGGGAAGGCTGAACAAAAACACTGTGGCGTCGCCTCTCTCCACCAACGAGGAGGCGACAAACCACACGGCACCTCGGATGCATTTCCGACGGTTCCTTTCATATAAAAGGGGTGACGCCGAGGAAAATAAGACTCGCGTCCCTACCAAAACGAATTCATAAATTCTACTTCCTTTCCTGATCTCTTATCTAACAGTTGTTGATAGGAAAAGTGAACACGACACTATAAATAATTATCCTTCTGAAATCATATGAACGAACATATGACATCGTGTGAATCACTTGCTATATTTATATCAATATAAAAATACACAGTAGAACCGAGCACAAAGTTGAAGATGATGTTCAATGCTGAAAAGTCCTAATCTGGGTCAATGACAGGCACAGTTCCCTGGGGTGAAAGTTGCATGATTAGCAGGGACCTGAGTGGCAGGGACCTGAGTGGCAGAGACCTGAGAGGCACGGATCTGACACACACATTCACATCACAACCCAGGTCAAGACTGAGTTGCGACAAAGACGCACAGACCGAAGCATCTATGGTCCAGGGCCCACATGCACCATGTTGCACAGAGTTAAGGTTCGCCTCCGAGAGGACCTCATTCTCACCACGGCTGAGATCTTAGAAAAGGTTTTAGCTTAAGCTTTAGATTAAGCTTAAACTTACTTAAGCTTAAAACCTAACTTAAGCTAAGATGGAGAAGAGAAGGTGAACACCTTCAAGTGCTACCGGTACTCCCACTATACCAGTAAGTGCAGAAATGCAGTATCTGCGCCCAGGAACACCACTACACAGCCTGCATATTCTCCCATCGACGCTGCCTACTCTGCAATGGCTTGCACACTGCAGTTTCACCTAACTGTTTCCTCCGACAAGAGGAAATAAAAAAGAAGTTGGCAAACACTACCTCACCTCAGCTAGACAACCCGCTTTTCAGGCCTTGCCCGAGAACACTGAGGAAGCTGCTGCTACTTCACCCCCGCTTGATCCCTCACTTTCGAGCTCACCTCCACAGCCCTTACAACCACCACCCAAGCCTGCAGTTACCACCAACAACACCTTCGTACCGGCACTCCTACACCTGGCCGACAAATTGGCAGGCAACGACGTCAACCTATACGTCCACACCATCAACAGGCTGCTCACCGCAAATGGACTTCCGACGGTGACGGTACCATTCGACCTTCTCCCAGCTCCTCCACCTGCGGCTGGCCCGGCGTCCAACCCCGCAACAGGGCCCACAACCAGTCTGATAAAAGGGACGCCACCCTCCCTGGCTACCTCTGCCAACGAAGACATCACATCGAGAGACGACAACGGACCACCCAAAACTCCCCTAAGCCATCAGGAAGCTCTCCAGAGCCACCACCGACTTCGATGAGAACATCCTTGCGACCGACGACGAAAACAAAAGCTCTTGCCATTTGCTGTTCATTCCGCCCAGGGAGGTCAATGGCAACGCACACACCAGACGAAAATTGGCTCACAGATGTAATTCCTAGACGGACAAATGCAATTCTTCGAAAAGGACGACGATCCTGATGGTATCAAACTACCGAGGTTGCTCCATTCAGATATAAAGCGTCTCTCTGGACATTAAACTACATCCAGGGGACAAAGCGTCCTGCGGGTCATAAACTGCGAGCGACCATGAAGATCCCATCCATCCACAGATCTCCAGTATCAGCTATTGATACTGTGTTACGGCCACTATGGGTCGCAACCGGGTTCTTTGATGGTAGAACCAAAATGATAGTATCCAACCCCAAGTCGATAGTACGCTCTCAAGAAAGTGGCTATGTAGTGCATAAAAAAGGAGGGGATGAACAAAACACTGTTCCTCTCGTCAATGTATTAAATATCTTTACACCACGGTTAAGTATATATATGTACACCGTCACCATAAATAATATATAAAGAACAGATAGGCTATTTCTACACTTAAGTACAATCCATTCGCTCAGGATATCACGGGCTCACCATAGCCCGTGCTACATGGACACTTCGTTCTGAGTAGCTAAATCTGAAACAACAACAATAGCTCAGGATATCAAACGTGGTCACGTGCAGAGTTCAACAATCCCCAGTATTTCTTCACTGTCCAGTAGCGTATCCAACCTTACTGGGAAGAACACCAGCGAGTTCACATATGCGTGGGCCAGCCCACTGACAGTGTCATGAGGTGCCTGTTGTTTGGTATCTGGGGCTTTAACTCATATTAAATTATTTGATTATTATGATTAACATAAATCGAAGGACCACCCACTTTTGAGAAAAGAGAGAAAATGAATAAAGGTGATTATTAGACTGACACTATAGAACCAGTGCCTGTGTACGATAATTAACTTGACAATCACTTGAAGATAATGAATAGACTGTATTATTAATTAAAGTGAAAGCCTCAAATAACAACATTGGGGGGTATTTCTAGAAGTTCATACCTGTACCCCAACAACCGCTCTCCAGCTACTCGCTGGCAGAGTACCTCAGCCACACGCTGAGCGGGGTCACAAACCAATACAGGGGTAGCGATCCCCTGGCAGCAGTCTCTAGCGACCAGCTAGCAGCACTACTCAACAGGCACCTCCCTGTTGTCAGTCTCTCCCCTAAGCCAGTCCCAAAGGTACGCCGATCTTTTTCAACAGTAAAGCACTAGCAGCTACCACACTGCTTCATCGGCGGCAGCTTACTTGGTCGTTTCCTGGACCATGTAGGGAGACTCTGGACTGCCCAAGATGAACTGCCGTTTCCTTTACCGCTGCCTCCAGACGTTACCTCTGTGAACACAAAAACGTCATCTATGACCTAGCCGGTACTGGCGAAACTAGGAAATACCACTAACCCACTGGGGAGTTGACATTGTGCTCTGTAGCACCCCATAAGGTGGTGCTGGTCTTGATGCGTCACCTCACCAGAGGTCACTCACAACGACCCCTCTGGCTGACCAAGGCAGGAATCTTTAGCCATTTCCAAGTTTTAGATAGCCACCATTGTGGTGTTTGTGTGTTGCTGAGGAAGTCTTGGTTGTAGGGTTGATATAAAGCCATTGCTTGGTTACTGACTTTAATACTTATAAACGATTACATGACTAGTAGCTACCAAGCTTGGCGGGCGTCCTGTACGCTCTCTTGTTTACCTTTCTCTGCGTCTGAGCCGCAGCACATAGAAAACGGATGGTACCATTTTCTGTGAACATGACATCCCTCCTTTTCTTTAAAAAGAATGAATACAGGATGTCTACCATGCTTGTAGCACAAAGCAAAGTTATTGACACAAAGTAAGTTATTAACATATCAAGAGATATTGCATACATTTAACATTAATTAAGCACACAAAGAATTTAAACAACTTAATCTTTACCACAAAGGATTTCAATGTTAAAAATACATATGCAATGTTAAACAAACATGAAAGAAACTGTAATACAAAGTTACAAAATATTGAATGAGAAATCTGCATTATTCAAACAATATTAAATTTAGTTTAGCATAATAGGTAAATACTTTGCATTACATAGGAACACAATTAATCATCAAATCGTGTAGGGCGTTTAACATGACGTTTAGGACGAGAGTCTCCAAATACCATAATATCCCTTGATGAATTGTTTATTGAGTTATAACTCATTTTTTCTTTATCGTTTGTACGACTTTGCACTTCATCATTTTTCACACTAGTTGGAATCACTTTGAAATAAGCCATATTACGTGTTATACTATGATCTCTATTACTAGCTGTTACCATAGTTCCTTTGACACTAATCACTTTATATGGTTTTGTATCATATGGCATATCTAGCTTTCCCTCTTTTTTCTTTTTAACGAGAACAGTATCTCCAATCTTTATGAACTGTTCCTTTGAACGTTGATCATGAGCAATTTTCATTTTGCCCTTGGCAAGCGCATCCTTCTGAGCGAGACGTTTATCCGTTATCTCGGCTGGCATGACAGGTAGTGCGATCCTCATAAGACGTCCAAATAAAAGTTTACCAGGCGACTTGCCCAGTGTTCCATGCGGTGTTGCACGGTAGTTCCTGAGAAAAGCATACCTAGCTTGTTTCCAGGATCGTCCTTCGGCATGAGCACAGCGTACCGCTTTCATAAGAGGTTGCATGAATCTCTCGACTTCTCCATTTGCTTGAGGATGTAGTGGCATCACACGGCGGTGTTTGAATCCAATATGCTCAGCAAAGTTGACGAAGTCTTGTCCATTGAATGGCGGTCCATTGTCCGTCTTGACAACTTCAGGAATGCCAAAATTTGAAAAGATCTTGTCGAGTTTCGGGATGGCAGCCTTTGCAGATGTGGAAGTGATGATTTCTACTTCTGGATAACGTGAGTGATCATCAATGACTACCATCAAGTACTCTCCAGTTGGTAGCGGTCCGCAGAAGTCCATCGATACTTCCGTCCATGGTGCAGCAGGTAGTGGAGAAGGTTGTAGAGGTGTTGGTCTTGAAGTATCCACTGCAGCTTGGCAAGGGACACAGGCATCATGCATGTCCTTTGCTTGACGATCAATGCCAGGAAACTACACCTTTTCTCGTAGCAGCTGTTTGGTCCTAACAAGACCTTGGTGTCCTTGATGTGCAAGCTTCAGAGCACGTTGCTGGAGAACAGCTGGAATGACGATACGAGTACCTCGCAGCACGATGTCGCGTTGTTGCGTAACACTTAATTCTGTCTGGATGCGTTCAAGTGCTTTGAATGCATCTTGGTCAACTCCTGAGGGTGGGATGCGTGGAAACTTTTTCTTAGTCAATGCATCCACTGTTGCTTGCAGAGTTGGGTCCTCTAGGGTCGCAATACGGATTTCATCAAGAGTGAGAGCCTTAGGGACTGCATCACAGGTTACAGAGTGTACATATTCCTCGGCAACTTGTTGATGCTTGATGATGGTGAAACTGTTGGCAGGATGTCGACTGATATAATCAGCGGGATTGCCTGCACCCGGCTTGTATTTCACCGTAAAGTTGTATGGTTGCAGACGAAGAGCCCATCTCTCAATGCGAGCTGGTGGTTTGGACTTCGGATTATTGAAGATGGTCTCCAACGGCTTGTGGTCAGTGACTATCGTGGTGAAGGGTGCACCAAGCAGATACACATTGAAGTGTTCACAGCCCCATACAAGAGCAAGAGCTTCCTTCTCTGTCTGACTGTAGCGTTGTTTAACATCTGTGAGAGAACGGCTGGCGTAGGCAATTACTACTCTGGAATCTGGTTGACCAGGTTTGTGTTGGGCTAAAACAGCACCTAAGCCAACAGGACTAGCATCCACCGTTAACTCAGTGTCCATTGATGGATCAAAGTACGCAGCAGTCGCATTCTCTACTAGTGCATCTTTCACAGCATCAAATGCATTTTGCTCGATATCGCTCCAGTACCATGATGCATTTTTCTTCAGGAGCTCACGTAGAGGCCTCGAAATGGTAGCAAAATCTGGAATGAAGCGAGAACAGTAGTTGCCATTCCCAGAAAACTATGTACTTCAGTGGACGTTGAAGGAGGTGCAGCATTCTTGATATCTGCAACTTTCTTAGGATCTGGAGACAGACCTTTGTCACTAAGTACATGTCCAAAGAATTCAATTTTATGTTGATTGAACTCACACTTTGCTCGGCTTAGCGTCAAATTCTTTTTTTCATTTCTCGTAGGCGTTGCAATGTTGCACGAAGAGCTTTGTCGTGTTCAGCTTGGGTACGGCCATAAACAATGATGTCATGAGACATGTTGTCAGCATTAGGTATATCTTGCAATACCTGGCTGATGATGTGCTGGAATACCTCGGCAGCACTGTTAATACCAAAACTCAGGCGCTTGTACCTATACAGACCTCGATGTGTCGTAAACGTTGTGATGAAGCGACTCTCCTCATCAAGTTCAAGCCGTTGATAGCCCTTGTTTAAATCTAACTTGCTGAATACAGTTGCACCATTCAAGCGGTAGATCATATCATCTACAGTGGGTGTAGGATGGCGTTCACGCATTATTGCCTTGTTGGGAACACGCATGTCTACACAAATGCGTATCTCATCTGGATTCTTCGGCTTTGGTGGAGTGACAATTGGGCTTACCCATGGTGTTGGGCCTGTTACTGGTTCAATGATATCTAGTTCCATCAGCCTATCCAGTTCGGCATCGACTTTCTTGCGAGAATGGAATGGTTGTCGGCGATGTGGTTGGGCAACTGGAATTACATCTGGGTTGATATGCAGATGTACTTTGCTATCAGTATAACAACCTATGGATTTAAATCGATCAGAAAATTCAGCAACAATAGCATCAACATTGTTTGCAGATTCCACTGCTACAGCATTAGAAAGCTGAAGTAGCCCCAATTTGGTTGAAGTCTTGTAACTGAGTAGAGACTCCTTTGCATTCC